AGGCGGGCGCGCCCCCCGCGCCGATGCGCAGCCGGGTGCTGCTGGGCCCGCCAGACGGAGGACCGCATCCGTCCTGCTTCGCATCGGTACGATCGGAAGGGGTACGGAAGGAATGTCAGCCACGCGCAGAGGGGGGTGGGGTGAGGGGGGAGGGCTTCTTAGAAGCGCCCCTGCTTCTTAGAAGGCGCGGGCGGCGCCTTCTAAGAAGCAGCCTCCTTCTAAGAGGCCTTCCCTCCTCCCCCCACCCCCTTGTGCGCACCGCAAAGTGGTAGGGGAACGAAGAATGACATAAACGTAAAACCTCTGAGGTCCGCGCGGATTTCGTATCGGCGCTGGAGACCCCCAGCGGCGCCTCCGGCGCCGCCCCTGGGGCGCTCCGCGCGCCAGGGAGGGGGGTCCAACGCAGAACGGAGAAATCCGCGTGGCCCTCCGAGGTCTTCTGTTGATGTCACGTTTCGTTCCCCTGGGGACGGGGGCGAAGACCTGCAGCAAGCCGTGCCCACTGTGAGCAGGGCCGGCGCGGTCGGTTTTCCGCCCGCCGTTGGGCGGTGTCCGGCATGCCCAGGAGCGGTCGCTGTCGGGTTGGGGCAGCATCCACTGGTGGGCATCGCACCCTTCTTGTTTCCATACCCTTTTTCGGGCGTCCAGATCCCAGGTTTCCCCGATGGTGTCTCAGAGGAATGAGTCGCAGGATCGCCGCTGCATCGCCGCTGCATCGCCGCTGCATCGCCGATGCAGCTGGATGCGGAGCCCGAGTGGTTCCACGCCGACGTCGAAGATCCAAGACATCCGCGCGGAGCTCGGAAAGTTTAAGCATTTGCCGTTGTGTGTTGTTTAATTCCCTCCCACGAGCTGCGAATGCATCCGTAGCCTGCCCGAGGGTGTGTATGTGTGTGCGTGTGCGTGAGTGTTCTTATGTTCCCTCCCACGAGCGGCGAAACGTATCCGCATGCCTGCCCGAGTGCGCTGCAGTTCGTCGCCCCCCCCCCCTCCTCCTGGCCGTGCTGCTTATTATTTTTTCATCCCCGGCAGACGCCTTGTGATTTCAGCCCGATGTGCGGTGTAAGAGGTCACTTGGGCCGTAAGGGTGGTCGCGCAGCGCCCTTTCTCCAGCCTCTGCTCTTCTGGTAGACAGGGCTGGTTTTCAGCACGCACCGTATCCACGATTCGGCCACCTCAGGTGTACATGGTCATTCGTTGGTTGCTTCGGTTCGTAGTGGTGGAAGGCAACCAAACATGTACACGCCCTCGTGGTCTGATGGTCTGGATTCCGGAGCGCGACGCGGTCGCATGGATACGTTCTACGGGGTGGGCATCCGCGAAGAAAACGCCCTGTATCCACGGGTCGCGGCCCAGGGGCCCTGCCCGCGAGGCCGTGGACACGAATCTGTTTTCCGACCACGGCCCTCGTTGCAACGGTTGGACTCGTTTCGAGATCTTAGCCAGACCGCACGTACGGGGAGGTCCGTGCAGCAGCGCGGCGTATTTCAGTACCAATATTGGCTCCTCATACTCGCCGCCTAGGGTCGGTCGGATGGCGACGGCAGGATATCTCAGAGAAGGAGCAGGTACCGTTAACCGCCAAAGGGAAGCAGGAAAAAATGTCTGGGGCCAGCCCATCCCTTCTTTCCAGCCCTGGCCAGTCTCCCAGCAGTTTCAGGCCCTGGCGACTGTTTCGGGCTCCTTTCAGCCCCTGCAGGTCGTTCCAGCTCTAGCCTTGAATCGGGCGTGTCCCCCTACAGGAGGAACACTCAAAATATTAAAGTAGTTCGGGGACAATCCTCGACTGTTTTTGACTATTTGTTGGCATTTTGCGAATCTTTTCTTTTTTGCCCAGCATTACGGGAACAAAAAGTGACATAAACATAAACTCGGAGGTCCGCCGGTGGGCCCCAGCGCCGATCCGAGAGATCCGCGCGGATCTCCGAGGTTTTACGTTTATGCATTCTTTTTGTTTCCCTAAGCATCCACCGGTAGGGGGACAGGCCGGACCTCACTCTAGCTGTTTCCAGGCCCTCGGCAGTCCCAACCTCCACTTCTCCCAGGAGGCCATTTCTTTATTGCTTGGGGCATGACGGGCGTCATGGCCCCCGCTCCCCCCCCCCCCCCTATGACGTAACGCTCCCCCCCCCAGTGCGCTCCGGGCACTGCCGCCGTGCGCATTGGGATCCGCGTAGGTGTCCGCGTAGGAATCCGCATAGGTGTCTGGTCCGCAGTCGTCGTCGTCGTCGTCGTCGTCGTCGTCGTCGTTCGTCGTCGTCGCTCGTGGTTCGTCGCTCGTCGCTCATCGTCGTCGTGCGCGCGGACGCGGCTGGAGCCTGTTTTTAAGTCCGGGCCGATGACGGCAATCATCTGGGGGGGAGGGGGTCGATGACGTCACGTTTCGCGCCGGCGGCGTTTGGGAATGGTTAGGAATGACGGAGGACGGGTAGCACGAACATGTAGGTGGCGATATGCACCACAACGCCTGTGTACATCACAGTGCCCGCGTGCACCACAGCGCCTGTGTACACCACGCCGCCGATGTACACCACAGCAGCCGCGTGCAACACAGCGTCAGTTTGTGCCACCGTGCCTGCGGGCACAGCAGCTCCTGTGTACACCACAGCGCCTCCGTACACCACATCAGCCGTGCGCAACACAGCACCAGTGTACACCACAATGCCTGCGTGCATTGCAGTGCCTGTGTACGCCACGGCGCCTGTGTGCACCACATCAGCCGTGTGCAACACAGCACCATTGTTGCGCATAGGATTTCAGAAGGAATCCTTGTGACAAAATGGAGCGCGTGTGGATTCCAGAGAAAGCAATGGAAAACAAATCCTCATGGACAAAGGAGCGCCGCTGGAATCTACGAGTCCCCCCGAGTCCGCCCGCATCACCCTAACTCCCACTTGCGTCCAGGAGGCTCCAGCTAAACTGGCCGTCCGAGAACCAAGTGGACCGATTCAATCGACCATTCTGCGGTGCACGCTGAGATGCGCACGTGCGTTGTAACGCCAAGCCGCACGACAGGGGATAAGAAGGAGGAAAAGAAGGACGAGGAGGAGGAGGAGGAGGTGGAGGAGGAGGTGGAGGAGGAGGGAGGGGGGAAAAACGCTGCATTCGATTATCAGAACTTTCCTGGCGTGGCGTTTAGTTGTCCGCATCAGATTCTGACGTACATGCTCCTTCTACCTGTCCTATGCATGCAGGCACTGTGGTGTACACCAGCGCTGCGTTGCACGCGGATGCTGTGGTGTAGACAGACGCTGTGGCGTGCACAGGCGCTGCGGTGCACGCAAGCACTGTGGTGTACACAGGCGTTGTGTTGCACATGGCTGCTGCGGTGTATGTATACCGGCGCCGTAGTGCTCCCAAGTATTGTGGTATACACGGGCGGTGCGTTGCACACGGCTCTTGCGGTGTACGCAGGCGCTGTGGTGCACGCGCGCGGTGTGGTGCACGCGAGCATTGTGGTGTACACAGGCGCAATGGGCAGATCGCCACTTACATGCTGCTCGCGTCGTCGTCGTCGCTCGTCGCTCGTCGCTCGTCGCGTCGTGCGCGCGGGCGCGGCTGTGGTGCCGGAGCCACACGGCGGGGGGGGGCGTCACGTCATACCCCCCCCCGCCCTCCCCCCTTCCCCCCCCATGACGCCCGTCATCGCCGAACATAAAGAAACGCCTTCCAGTTCGCCTGGAAGCCTTGGCGCCAGAGCGCACCCACGGTGCCTTCCGAGAACTGCCCCCTTTGTGTCCTCGGGGACTGCCTAGACCACTCCTCCTCCTCCTCCTCCTCCTCCTCCTCCTCCTCCTCCTCCTCCTCCTCCTCAGAAGGCCAGAGGTGTTCCGAGCCTTCCTAGAAGGCCCGCCCTGTCTCACTTCGCACCCCCCCGGGCGCGCCGCCGACAAGAGGGAGTGGAGGGAGAAGGACCGGCGGGGCTGCGGTGACGACCCTATAGGCTTCGCCAAACATACATTGAAACGCCGGTCAAGATCGAAGCGCCCGATGGTTCGGACACTTGTCAGAAACCGCGTTCTTCCATGCTGTGAGGGTACTGCCGGACTTCGGACACCCCTGCGCCGTGGCCGAACATCTCATGCCAGCACTGGAGTAGCGCCGACCTTAGTGGGCCCTGGAAACGACAGGGCCGTCTTTTTACCGGTTCCGTTTTGCTGTTTTTGTTGCCGGTTCCGACGCCGTTTTTTTATTGGTTGCGTCGCCGTTGTTTGACCAGTTCCGGCTCCGGTTCCAATCCTGGAGCCGTTTTTTTGCCGTTTCCGGTCGCCGTTTTTTTGCCGCTTCCATTTTCGAGTGGCATTTTTTTGGAAACGGTGGAAAAAACGGCCCTGCCGTTCCCGGGGCCCACAAAGGCGCCGACCACGCAAGCACCGAAAACAGAAGCCGTCAGCTCGTGTCTGGCGAGTCTTGCGGGAGGTGGTGGGCAGGTGCTCGGCGGCGCATGCGGAGAGAGGAGGCCCGAGCAGCGGGCCCGCCCGCCCGAGGGGGCACTAAGCGGGGCCCACCCTCGGCTCGCCGAGGCGCGAGGTCGAGGCCGGTTCGGGGAGGGCGCCCTATGATTCTGGGCCTCCCAGATGGCGTCCGAGTAGATTTTAAGTCGGGCACGTCCCTCGACAGGAGGAAGTTCCCCAAATAGTCAAAACATAGTTTGGAGACGTTTTTTGGGTGTGACTATTTGTGCGCATGTTTGAGCACTATATGATGATTTTTGATTTGTCATCCAAAGTGCGCTTGTAGAGGGACACGCCGGACCTAATTCTTTACGCTTCGCGTATCCCCACCAGCCCATCTCACAACAGCAACTCTTGCGAAGCGTGCCGACAGTTGTGTTGTTCAGGCGTGTGTCCGCTTGGCCCCGCATATCTCCCCTGTTCCTCCTTTTTCCCGCCTCCTTGTACATCCTCCTTGTGGGGGCAGCGGGAGAAGGACGACGCGGAAGAGGAGGGAGAGAAAGCGGTGGGAGGCAAGAGGGACTCAGCGGAGAGGACGATCTCAGCGATGATCTGAACAACGACGACGCACCCGACGACGACGACGATGTCGACCGCAACGACGAC